TATTTGGCTTATGAGAAACCTTTTGTTTTTTTTCTCTGTCCTTTTTTACAGCATTTAGAAAATAGAAGCAGCAAAATTTAATTTCACCATAAATCTTACCACCAGAAAGAGCTTTTTCTAACAAGCACAATAAACTGCCTGTCAAAAAAGTCAACATGTTTTTCTTTCTTTCTTCAAGTTTTCCTGCTCTTCTTTCCTTTTAATATATGAAACTTTATTATTTTTTTAAATGTTCACTTGGTTTAATCAGAAAAGAGAATCATGGACAAATGTGACAAGAAGACCTTTACCATTACAGCACTGGAACAAAAAAAGTAAAATAACAAAAATAATTTAAAATGTAAATAAGAGAACTGGATGTGATAGTATCAACAAGTACAAATACCAGGATGACATTATTTATTCATACAATTCTAAACACCTCAGACACAAAAGTAGATAGATTTAGTCACTTTGCAAATTCTTCTTGTGATTTCCAGAATGAAACTGAAATAAGTAAAAAAGAACTACATGTTAAACTGCGACATGGCACATGGAACAATAATGAATTATGCAGATAAAAAGGTTTTACATTATGGACCTCTGAGGTTTGTGTTTCCAAACATGTGCACTATTCTTGCAAAACCCTTCGAGTGTAATTGAATTTTTCAGATCTGTATTTCGAATAATACAATTATGTTAGATATATTTAAAGAGGACTTCCACTATTCCACTGTTAATTTAAAATTGTATCAAGAACAAACTGATGTATTGTGATTATTTGTATTCTTGCTTATCATGGAAAAAAGTTATCAGGCACCACTTAACTAGTTAGAATTGTGCTCTGTTAAGGTCGGAAACAATGATAAACAACAACACATTGGGAGGAGCTTCCTTTCATTGTCAGACTCTCACAAAGTGTAATATTTTTTATATAGAAGTAAATTTATAGTTCAGGCAGACAAATTGCAGATAATACCTTCAATAAATCCATAGTCATAAGTAATATACTGTGCATGAAGTGCCAGCAAGCATCTTTGTCTTCACATACTGAACATGTGTCCTGGAAAGTGATTAAAATCACAGAAGCTGAAGTAAGTAATTTGTGGATAGAAATCCTTGTTGTGATTTACAGAACTGGTTAAAAACAAAATACCACGTAAAACAATAATCAAACATGAATTTGTCCTTATTTGAAGAAGTCTTGACAGCGGGTGTCAGGACTGGGATGTTTTTTTTTTTCCACATTTATAATTGCAGTCCAAAAGGTCGAGTGCAATTTAGAGTGAGGGTCCTAGAAAGTGTCTGAAGGAGAGGATCACTATGCAAGTCCACCAGCAAATTCTGCTCTACACAGTCCTGCTGGTTTCCTGGGGGGCTCCTTCATGAAAACGTCTGCCTGGGTTTTGGAAACGAAAGCGAGCATCGTTAAAAAACAGATGGGCAATTAAAGCCCTGTTTAACACAGGATTTGAAAAGCATAAAAAGTCTGAAAATGAAGGCGTAGTGACTGAAAACATTTCCATTGAAACCCACAAAGCAATTGTCTCGATGTCCCTTGTACACAAGGCGATGGCTGAAACTTGTGCCTTGCTGTTTTCCATATATATAGGGATTAGGCAAATATCTCTGCTGAGCATTGCATTAAAACTTGGTTATTTTAATATTATATAAGAAACCTGTATTTGTCACATGCATTGATTTTCAACCCAGCTTTGAATGCACTGAAGAGAATGTTGATACCCAAAACTTATTCAGGCCTGATATTCTATAAGGTTTTACCATTTGTTTAAAATCAGTGCTGATATACTGTACAGTATGAAGCATGATATGTATATAATGCCATTTCAGGAGTGAATTAAATGAAAAATAATTTTTAAAAGGTGAGGGAAGCTCAGTCTGCTTTCTCAGCTTCATCTAGAAGGTGGCACATGAAATATGACACTTTATCTGTCCTGATTAACAGCTGTGGCAGAGTCCTAGGTGTGATTCCCCTAAGGTGCAAACAATATCTAAGATCCCTATGTCTGAGCACAATGAGACAGTACAAGTACTGGTGTTCACAGGCTCTTTAAAATTAATTTTGTACTAATGGATTTCATATTATTCAATAAGAGAAATCTAAGCAGGAAATAATGGTTCCCAACATCTTGCTGTTTGCACTGTGAGATATTTTTATTAATCTCCGTCTAAATTAACTGAATCCAGAATGTCACATTATCATTTGTGTTACTTAACTGACGCCTCTAAAACTTTTTATATTGAAAACACTATGGCTGAAGTGTAGCATTTTCACACTGATAAAAAAATAAAAAAACCAATGCACTTTTCAGCAAATATTCTGTAACAAGTAAATTGAAAAATTACAATAAAATTATTGTTAATTATAAAATTTACTTTTTTGCCAATAAGAAGTTAGAATGTATGTACAGTGTACATGTATCCATTCTGATTTCAATTTTATACGTACACCCATTTGACATTTTCAGCTCTGGAATAACACATTTAATGCAACGATTTAGTAAATGCAGGATCTCTTAGAGCAATTAGTCCTCTAGTACCCTAATCTTACATGAGGCATAAACAGCTTTATTTTACGTCTTCTTTCATCAGTTTGTTTAAATAGAACATTAAATCAGTTTAGTTCAGATGATTTGCTCTTAGGACATGAAATTACCTTTGCCCTGGATTGATGCTATTAAATTCATTTCTTTCTCTGACTGTAGGAATATTAGAACTTTATAGTTACGTTATTCTTGTCGTTAATGTTTTATTATATCACAAAACCTCCTAAACATCTGTTGTGTAGGGAAGGAATGCAAAATTTAGTTAAATATATAAATGTGTCCCTCTGTATACATAAACCACACCTATATCTACATAACTGTATCTATATACTTTTTACACAGTCAGATCCTAGTTCATAGTCAAAGTGTGGATTTATGTGCTTATCCAGTCCTATTTTGGATGAAATTGCACACACTCCACCCAACAGCTGTTAAAAATTCTGTTCTAAAGGAGTATGACATCATTCCAGGCCAATCAGAGCCTCGCTGCCTCATTAGGTCGATGTGATGGAATTAGACATTGTTGTCACAATATGTTTCTGTCTTACAGGGCTGATTACTAACTTATCACAAAGGCTGGAAAATATCAGGTCATCAACATCCCACAGACAGCATGTGCATGGAAGTCTTTTGAACATTGCCTCCTTTGCTATGGTTTACCATCTTATACTGTATGACAAAACATTCTTGATTTTGGTAATCTCACAGAACAACCCAAGGGTGAAAAACATCATCTCATGTTGGTGCTCACAGTCCTTCAGAATTTAATGATGCTAAAAATGTCCTCCCTGCTTATACTGTGCTCTAATTATTTAGTTTTCCCATAAATTCACACATCCCAGGCACCCAGTTTACCTGCTGAAATCAGCTGTGTCATGTGATAATGGTATAAATACAGAATCAGGTGCCTCCTTTATTAAGATGCTACCAACACCTTTCGAATCAGAAGAATTCAAAAGTTTAAGATTTTGTGTTAGAATGACGGGAGTAGTATCACCCGGCAAAAGAAAATAATATACTGTTATAAGTAACAGTGTGTTGATTCAGACAGATTTTGATGGATACATCTTTCCTTTCCTAGCAATAATTTAACAAAATCTAAAGTGACCTGGGTGGTCACTTTGAAAGTTACAGGCTCATAAAATTGATCAGTATGCAACAAAATGACTTTAGTAATTTTTCAATGAGGGTCTTCAGTATTTTTTTTATCACTTTTGGATGGGAGCTCACAGCCTTTCAATTAGGACAACTTTTGACTAAATATTATTAAATGTGACTACATTTTTATTTTGCTTCAAATGTAATTTTTAAAAATGTATAGCTATTGTAATTGAATCTGAGACTCCCAGTGTTACATGCTTGAACACCATATCCTTGGACAACATAATTATGGCTTGCTTGATGTTTTTTATGAATATGGTGGCAAATTTTAACATTTTGTTTTGTGATTCAAAAAATATTTTTGTGCTTCATCATAATAATTTTCTTGTATTGTTACGTTATAATCTAACCTACGTTTGTGCCCAACCATATGCCGGAAATTGTTAAATTCAAAGATATGACATTTAAAAATATATTTATTTTAAAACAAAAAATATGTATTTTTGCAATATATAAAGACTATCAACTATTGCGTTTCTGTCGTTGGTTTGCTTTATTTATATGATTGTTTCACGGTCTCAGTCTTTCTCAGGAGAGAAAGTTACGGCCGAACCCGTTATGTGTATGGCCTTATAGGTGGTGTCAGAACTGCGCACCCCTGTTTTCAAATTCTTGCTTATCAACATTAACTTCATAACCCTTTGCTATTATATTGTATTTTTTAAATATCTACATATGTGTTTATGTATTAATTGAGAATAAACATTATTTAAATATTGTTTTGATGTAGAAATGAACGCAGAGAACGTGCTCTAGTGTTCCACGATCGAGTGAGGATCATGCTGCCTGCATATTTTTAATTTGATGTCTTCATATATTGCGTTTTGGGTGCGAAGATTAAAATAATAATAGTTTGCTGTAGCCCTTACTAAGATTAAGCAGTTTTACAACAAAGGATATACACTATAGATGTGTTTATAATTATTCTTCAAGACGCGCGTCGAGAAAAACTAAAATCCTGTTTAACATTGTATTGATTCATATCCAGGAGATGTAAAAATATATCCAGAATACCATTCTTTTTTAATTATGTGACCCTGGTATTGCGACAAGCTCTTGGTGCGCCTGCAGACTTTTTGTTTTCCAATTTACTTATCTGCTCCGTTCTCAGCAGTGAAACAATAATTGTTATTAACCTATTGTGAACTTGACATCGTGTTTCGAGTTTCGGGTTTGTGCTGTAGGACCCAGCGGAAAACAGAAGCCCTCCTGCCAGAGCTCTGCCTGCTTGCCTCAACCAGCGAGAGAGAACAGACTCCTCCTCATCTCCGCTGTCAAACTTGACATCAGCCTTTGAGCCGAGAATGGTAACTTGTGTCGGAATCGGAGCGCTCACATCAGTGGCATGCTTCATGGAGATATGTACCACTCATTGCCCTCTGAACTGCCGACATGGACTGCAAACCCCATGCTCTTTTTCTTATCTTCTCTTCGTTCATTTGCGGCGGACAACTGAGTAGCCATCCCTCCAACGAAGGTAAGATAATGTTTTGAATGAAAGACAAGTGGGGAGGAAATGTGGTGCTACTTTTCTGGGGATGGTGAGACGCTACGCGGCAGCGCTTGGTAGGTGATCGTGCGTTTACTTAAGGTGGTCCAGAGTGAACTGATGTTGCCTTTTGGGACGTTATGCAGATGATCAGTGCGGGGTTTCAGTGAAACTGGCATGTAGTTTACCTCTTGGCGCTGTTTTTTTATAGTTTTTTTATTACATATTATTGGGGTGGCAGCATAGATAAATCAGGTCAATGCGCAAAAGGAACCTTGTAGGGGAAAAAAGGAATTATCAAGAGACTTTTGTCAGCTCGGATAAACTGGACAGTAAACCACATTTAAATCTGAAGACTCCGCACATTAAACGTGATGCATGTGGCGTAAAGCGTTTTGGAATGTATTACCTTTTAATTTCGGCAAGATGTCGCGTTTAATTTTATAACTCAACCCTTTGTTCTTTTTTCGTGGGGTTTAAACAATGTTCCATAAGCCCGTTAATCAGATCTGCAATGATTTGTGGTTATGATAATAGTAAACAACTATAGATATTACAATTACTAAGAAGAAATACACTTTAAAATTACACACTCTCCCACATAAACTGAGACAAAATGCTTTAAAGCACTGGTGGCCAATATTAAAGATTGTAAGATTGTTTGCCCTCAGTGTGCAGATAAAGCATTTCAGAATTTCAGTTTCTTTTTTAACATTTATAATATATAATAATATATTCAGGTTATATATATATGTTAGGCAAATTAAATTGATTATACTATAGAGAGATGGCATTTTCAGTCTAAGAGAAGCAAAGTCAAAGGACAGCCGATGTGTAGACTTCGCTTAATTACAAGTAAATATTAGACATGGATGAAGGTTCAACTGCGTTGAACCACTTAAGTTAATTTTCACAATTTCAGTGTGTGTATTACATTAAATCTGTCTGTGTTGGAAATATCACTTCTGGAGTACATGATCACCTCACAAGGAATCTGTATTGCTAATGATTACTGTCAATCCCCAAATACTAAGCATCCTTCTGATGATCTTTCATGGATAGATATCTGTTCTGCTACAGCAAAATATGGCCCTTTGATAGCCATATTCTTGCTGCAATTTTTCAAACGCCCTCAGTGAGCATTCTGGAAAACAGATGAAGAGTTAATTGTTCAGAAAGCCCACATCTTGTTAAAGAACAGGCCCAGACTTGTAAATCAGTGCACACTATTGGTTAAGAAATCAATTTATGTATTGTAGGTCAACATAATTATGACCTCAATTTTAATGGTATTAAGCTATGCACAAAAAAACAAAAACAAATTAAACGTTAGCAAATTCCGAATGAAGTGGTTTTCTATTCACCAAATCAAAAAGAGCAAGTTTTTGAGGTCAGTAATTTTGGAGGATTGAAGAAAAGACAAAAAGAAGGTACTTAACTCTAGAATATATGGGGGTGAAAAGCAGTGAATTGTGAGTTTATTTGTGGCAGCAAAACAGCTCTTTTTGGCTAGATTTGAGAACTTTCCTTCAGCGTGTACAGAAAACAGTTGTCATATAAAGAGGCTACGAATTTGTTTATACATTAGACTGCAGTATTTTAAAAGCTTAAACATTATCAAAATTAATTTTATGCATACAAATAGGTATAACAATGACTCTGTACCCCACATACTGTAACTGTTACATTATCAAGGTTTACAGAGCACTACAAAAACAGTCACTTTACCATATATCTTTGCACCAAAAGTTGTCCTTCAGTGACTCTTCATAGAACTGAAATGAACAGATTCTCTGTAGAAAGGAAGCTGCTCGTGTAAAGTTTGGGAGACAGTGAGCAGGGAGAATACAGATTAATTATTTGACCCGTAGATTTAAATATTGGTTTGTTGTCAACTCATTTACTTAGATTTTAGCATTCTTATTTCCCCTCAGAATCACAGGAATGAACAGTTTAGTAAATCTGACAATGATAAGTACAGAGAAGGGGCAATAGGAGTTACTTGCCTTATTAAGTAAGTGAATGGAAAGCAGGATACAATAGCTATCTAGCTGGACACATACTGTAACAGACAGCAGATCTGAAAACAACCAAATAAAAAGAAGAGTTTGTTTTGGTGTATTTTGAAGTATTTTAATTGTCCATCTAAAATTGTAAACCAAATCTACGCAGAGTTTTAAATGTAGTTCATGACATTATATGAAATACAACATACAGGCCATTGTAGAATAGGATGTCACAATGTGTTCTTATTCACTAAACCACGTTAGGTACTAAATCAAGTTAATAACTCATATTATGATGATTTGTGGTTCATTTAATTTGTTTTTTCTTAAAATGTAACTTAATACTATTTTAATGCCCACTCTCTTTGTGCCAGACAGCTTCATCTGCTCTTTTTCATCAGATAACATTATGGATTTAGCTGCAGTGCATAAGAAGTAGTAAAATGGTGTGGATTATCTATGTTTCATAATGGAAATTGAACATTTTAACCTTCTGCACTGCATGGTAGGAAATAAAACTGATACTCTTTCTATAAAAATCTAAACTGGCTGTGTTTGTTGTACAGTATGTGACAAATCTCAGAAGTGAACTCTCGACCCAAGTCACTAAACTAGTCAAGAGTGCAGTTTGTCGAAGGTTTTACACACAAATCCGAATGATTCCATTAATATAATCAATGAACGGACAGGAAAACCCTTAATTACTGAAAAAAAATCTACCTATTCGCTCTTAAAAGGGTTTTAATAGGTAAGAGTATAAGAAGATTACAACGTCTTTTTGGTTGATGGTATCTCATTGATCCAAAAATCGCATGCCGCCGTCTCTTCTATGAAGTTAGGGTATCAGATTCAACAACGTGGCAAATATTATGTATTAGACGAATAATACAAGGAAGAAATTTTCGTGGCGTTTGTAGCCTGAGAAAAGTCACTTTCTTAAGATTGAAGAGTGTGACATACAGTTAGGAAAATCTCATAATTAGTGTTCTGACCTTAAGTCCTTCGGCGCCGTAGGTGTATTGTGAGAACAAATAAAGCAAGTTTGCTAAATAATAAAGCTATTATTTCAAGAAAACATTCATTATTGAAATTTCAAAAATATGTTTCAATTTTCATTTTCAGTATTATCTGTTTGAAAAAATGCAGGATCTTAGACGTTTTAAGCGTATTTTCTGAAAATTCATAGAACACTATACTGTATGGTCATTACTTATACAGCATTTAGAGAAAGAGCGAGAAACTCGCTTTGAGTATATGTGTTCGTGTATGCTATTTAAACTGCGCGTTTAACCTTGTAAGGCCGAGTTCTGAAAGACCGCTTACAGTATTAGCCTAACAGATATACTAAAGATCTAGAGGAGATATTTCAATTTGTTGCACAGATCACTTTTGATGTTTAATTTATGCAACATACTCAAAACATGCTTTAAAGCTCATTTTACCGAATTGGTGGTCAAACGTAGGACTAATCAGTTTTGTATAATAGAATTTTACTAATAACATCGTATTTGAGTTTTATGGTAACACAAATCATTTGACAGCGCATTATCGCGTTAGAAAAAAAAACATTGTCGTGTTATTAACACAATAATCTTTGTCCTTTTTTGAATAAATTGGATTATTATCCCCTTTTTGTCGGTCGTGTTTTTTTCTTAATTCTTTTAGATAGGTACAAGCATAAGAGTTCCGTTTTCAGTTTGGGCGGTTCAATTATTCTTAGTATTAATATTCCCCGATCTTCCACGTTCCTTTATGAGTATGTGCTCCTGACGAGAAAATCTCCGCCAGCGAGTGTCAGTATCGAGCTGCAATCGATGAAGGCAAAGAAGGAAATGTAACCAGCAGGTTGAATCATGAAACATCTTTATAACGTTGGATCTGGGTGTTTGGTATCGTCCTAGAAAATAAGATGCACCGAGGCACCGCATAATAATGAAACGAAAACAATTGTTTATAGTATGATAATCCAATTTACGTTGCACATTAGAACACTTGACAATTTGTAATTGTACATTATGCAGTTTTAAGTTTGGATGTTTGAAGATGTCGCTTAGAAAGATGCCATACTACTGTATAAGTTCATGGCTGCTACCAAGTATCCAGACAAAGTAATTTCCGACTTTTCTTTAAAATAAGCAAATATAGTAAACCCGCATTGATGTTTTAGCACTGGTAGCCTACTGTGAAACTAAACGGGATTAAATATATGACTTCTGAAAAATAATGGGTGATTACCCCCAACATTCCCCATTATTTGTGGACAAGATGTATTTTATAGTGATATAATTTCAAAGCATCATTTTCACACTTGAGCAACAAAATGAAGCATCCAGCCTTTTGTTTCAAATTGATGTAAACTAATCTTAAATAGACGTCTCTATGAATTGTATATGAGTGTGTCAAGTTTGTAAAACGAACTTTTTTATCTTCATCTGTAGTTTTACAGGGGAAAATATGATTTATTACCGGTCTCTTTTTCCAAATAAAATTGGTATTGTATCTGAGCTGCAGATGTCAAGATCAATTTTCCTGATCTTTTTTTTTAAAGAAGAGTGCCTCAGTATGTGCTCATGTCTAGCATTTAAACCGAGCGTTTTCATTCAATAATACTGGATCCTGAGTTCTTTTTTATTAATTTAGGTAACTTTCTCAAAGGATGCAGTTCGGAGAAGCCATGCGCCAGATACAGTATGTAGAAGAGACGTTGTAGCCCCCCTTTAAATACCGCAGTGACGAGGATAAAAACTAAATAAAAATATTGAATTTGAAAATGATCAGCTTCTGAATTTTACTGGAAATCAAATAAGGTATAGAATACATTTGGTGGCAACTCAAAAATGTACGGGGTTGCGCAAGTTTGCTGTAAAATCAAAAGGACACACCGTAGAAAATTAACTTTATTGTGTTGTTTCATCACAAACTTGTCATTGTTCTTGATTTTATCATATAACCATATTTTCAGTAATTAGTTTTCTCCGTTAT